CCCAGCTGGGGTAGTAGCTCAGTGGATAGAGTGTTGGCCTAGCATGCACAAAGCCCTGGGTTTCATACTCAGCATAAGACAGGAGTGGTGGTACGAACCTGTAATCTCAGCACCGAGGAAATCAGAGGTTAAAGGTCAGCCTTGTCTGCATAGCAAGTTCAAGGCCAGTTTGAGATCCAAGAGATGATTTTTCAAGTGAAACAAAGCAATGGACTGAAGCAATGGCTTCGTGGTTAAAAGTACTGGCCTGTCTTACAAAGGCCATGCCCAGTGGCTCACAACTGCCTGTAATTCCAGCTCCACAAGAGCTAATAACTCTGGCCTCTGCAGGAACCTGCACTTACATGTACATAAACTCCCCCAGACACATGCTATACATAATTAAAAGGAATAAAAATAGGGGAGTGGATAGATGGCTCAGCAGTTAGGAGTGCCTGCTGCTCCTGCAGAGAACTGGAGTTCAGTTCCCAAGACCCATCTTGGCAGCTCACAACTGCCTATAACTCTGACTTCAGGAGATCCAGTGCTGTCTTCTAGCCTTGGTGGGTACTTGGACGTACCTGCACATACATACATGCACACACATATACATACATAAAAATAATGAAACAGCGGGCGTAGTGGTGCACACCTTTAATCCCAGCACTCAGGAGGCAGAGGCAGGCAGATCTCTGTGAGTTCAAGGCCAGCCTGTTCTACATAGTGAGTTCCAGGCCAGCTGGGACTACAGGGAGACCCTGTCTCTAAAAAAAAAAAAAAAAAAAAAAAAGAAATCTTTAAAATAATAATAAAATTTGCCAAGCATTGTGGTGCATGCCTTTACTCCCAGGACCTGGGTGGCAGACAGACCTCTGTGAGTTTGAGGCCAGTCTGTTCTACATAGCAAGTTCCAGGCCAGCCAGGGCTACATTGGAGATCCTGTCTCAAAAAAAAAAAAAAGTAAAAATAAAAATAAAATCTAAAAAATACCCCCAAACAAAACAAAAATGAAAAAAAACAAAAAAATTTCCCATCATCCCTTTCACTATATTCTGTGGTTCAAAGCTCATGGTGAGCCCAGCACAATGGCAGAGGCCTTTAATTCCAGCACTTATAGAAGGTAGAGGCAGGCAGACTTCTGTGAGTTCAAGACCAGCTTGGTCTATACAGTGAGTTCCAGGCCAGCCAGGGTTACACAGTGAACCCTGTCTCAAAACGAAGACAAAAACAAAGCAAACAAATAAAAAAACAGCACATGGTGAGGCCCAGATGGAAAAAGCACTGAATTTATGACCGTATTTATTCCACCACAAGAAAGACCCCAATAAATGGCTTCAGCAGGTAACACTGTCTTGAGAAAACCCACATCTGACACATCACCACCATCGTGACTCGAGCCAATATTGTAAAAGGCAGAGCTCTTGTATCTGTCAATCAGCGGTGGCACTGGGCCCAGTTGCTCTTCGAAGTTTTGAGAAAGGGCACTGTTCTCTCCCATCCCTCGTGGTTTTCCTTCAATGGGACATTGACAAGCCTCATCTAGAGATGAGATCTTTTTTTCCTTTTGTTTTTTGAGACAAGCTCTCTTTGCAGTCCTGGCTGGCCTGGAACTCACTGTCCTCTGCCTCTGAGATTAAAGGTCTATGCCACCACACCCAATTTTTTTTCTTCCTTTCTCTTTTTTTTTCTTTTCTGTCTTTTTGAGACAGGGTCTTCCTGTTGCCCCAGCTGGCCTGGAACTCACTGTGTAAACCAGGCTGGCCTTGAACTCACAGAGATCTGCCTCCCTCTGCCTCCCAAGTGCTCTGACTATAGGTGTGTGCCACCACACCCAGCTCTTTCCTTTTTTTTTTTTTTTTTTTTTTTTTTTTTTTTTTAAGACAGGGTCTTATATAGCCCAAGCTGGCCTGCAACTCACTATGTAGCCGAGGATGACCTTTAATCCCTACTCTACCTTCCAAGTGCTTGTATTCTAGGCATGTGCCACCAGACCTGGTGGAGAGGTGAGATCTTACTCTCCCTCCCTGTGAAACTGGATGGGCCTTTATAATAACCTTGACCAAGGAAAGGGGCAGATGTGATACTATGTGACTTCTGATGCAGGGTGGAAAAAGTGATGCAATATCCCTTTGCTGGGTACACTTATCCACATGGCCATCCACCAGGTCATGAGGAAGCCCAGTTTACTTAGATACCATTTGTGGTTGGTCCAACAAATCACTCTAGTTGATCCCTTGACCCTCAGCCAGCATCAAGTGCCAGACATGTGCAGGGGCCTTCAGAGCGTCCCAGCCCAGCTCTGGAATCTTCCAGTGGAAACCCTCTATGTAGTGGGCAGAGATAGTATCCACTGTGCGTGCCTTGATTGGATTCTTGACCCACAGAAGCCAGAAGAGCTGGATTAGCTTGTTTTTTGTTTTAATTTCTTATTTTTATTTTACATGTATGAGTGTAATGCTTGAATGTATGTAAATGTACCCATGTCATGCAATGACCATGGAGGACAGAAGAGGGTGTCTGATTCCCCTGGAACTGGGGTTAGGACGATTGTTAGCATTCATATGGGTGATGAGAATCAAACCTGGGTCCTCTGCAAAGAGCAGCTAGTGCTTTTAACCGCTGAGCCATCTCTCCAGCCCCCAAGTCACTCTGTTTAGAATAATTTGTTATGTAACAGTTAGCAAAGGTTGCTGGCAATAAGAGATGAAGAAAAAAATATAACTCAAATAAACTAAGATTTTTACTCTTTTTTCCATTGAAGTCTGAAAGTAAGCAACCAAGTATGGAAATTCCTATGATCAGTTAGAAACCCAAGCTCTTTTTTTATTTTATTTTATGTGTATGAGTGTATTCTCTTCATGTATGTAAGTGTACCCATGCCTTCATGTGTGTAAGTGCACCCATATCCTGCAATGCCCATGGAGATCAGTAGAGGATGTCAGATCCCCTGGAACTGAGTTATAGACAGTTGTTAGTCACTATATGGTCTTCTGCAAGAGAAGCCAGTGCTCTTAACTCCTGAGCCATCTCTCTGGCCTGAAACCCAAGATTTTTTACTTGCTCTTACTATTCTTTGCACATGGCTACAATTTTCAAGGTTACCTTCAGATTCCAGATAACTGCTGGAGTTTCAGATATCACACACACATTCCAGTACAAATGCAGGATGAAACAGAAAGTACAAAAAATGCCTCTCCAGTACTTTTTCTATTTATTTATTTTTAATTATTTGTTTTTTATATTATGTGTATGAGTGTATTGTCTGTATGTATGTAAGAGCACCCGTGTTGTGCAATGCCCGGGGAGGTCAGAAGAGGGTGTCAGATCCCCTGGAACTGAGTTACGGATAGTTTTTAGCCACCATGTGGGTGCTGGGAATTGAACTGAGGTCCTCTACAAGAACAGCCAGTGCTCTTAACCACTGAGCCATCTCTCCAGCCCCCCCACCCCGCTTCTATTTCAAAGGGCATTGTTGAGAATCCCTTCTAACACCTCTGTATGTCTTAGAATTTTACATCACACAGTCACACCATATGTGCAAGTGGGGCTAGAAATGTTATCGTTTAGCTTAATTTGTTGCTGTTTGAAGATTGGAATTATGACAAAAGCTTTCTTGATTATTGGACACTATAAGGTTTTCAGCTTCCATTGTATGTTTGTTGATTGATTGATTGATTGATTGATTGATTGATTGATTGATACAGAGTCTCAAGTACTCTAGGCTGATCTTGAAGTTCATATCTAGAGGCGGATAACCTTGAACTTCTAATTCTCCTGCCTCTGAGTGCAGAGATGACATACATACACCACCACACTTGATTTTTGTTCAGTACTAGGAATGGAGCCCAGGACTGTGTGCATGCTAAGCAGGAACTCTACCAACTGAACTATATCCCAAAGCCAAGCAGCAAGATTATGGTTAAGTATCCTCATGTGCCTTTTCCCTTCTCAGCCACCTGCCATGACTTCAGTTTACCTCAGGTTTTTTTGTTTTGGTTTTTTTTTTTGTCTTTTTGAGACAGGGTCTCCCTGCAGCCCCAGCTGGCCTGGAACTCACTATGTAGACCAGGCTGGCCTCAAACTCACAGAGATCCGCCTGCCTCTGCCTCCCGAGTGCTAGGATTAAAGGCATGCGCCACCACGCCCAGCAGATTACCTCAGTTTAAAGACAGATTCCGAGGTCTGGTCTGGAGCCACAGGCCTTGCTTCTACTTCCCCCATGCAGCTCCATGCCAGAGTTTAGGAAATGGATTTCATCCATGCTTGTCTCTCATCCTAGGGCCCTTGCACAGTAGACATCGTGAACATGCAAATATGTCACTCTTCCCAGACATCTTTCTGTGCCCCTCAGGAGGTGAGGCCCTTCCTTTGCCGGCCCCTCCCCCCACCACTTTCTTCTTATGAGACAGGGTCTCACTTATGTAGCTCTGGCTGCTCTGGAACTTGCTATGTAGACCAGGCTGGCTTTGAACTCACAGAGATCCCGTCTCTGCCTCCCAAGTGCTGGGATCAAAGCCATGCTCCATCGTACCTGGCCTTGTTCTATTTCTTAAGATTCCGTGCTGGCTTACCCTGGTTCCAGTTTTGTGTCCCCCAATATGCTTGACATCCATTGCCCTAGATTGATCAATAGCCACTAAGGGAACTGTATTTGAGTCACAGGCCATAGTTCTCTCCCTGGGGTAGGGACATCACTTTCTTAGTCCTCTCTGCACCCAGCAGGAGACTGCAATCCGCCCCTGGGCTGGAAGAGGAGCCACCTCTGTAATCCTGTAATCGCCTGAGAAGTAAATGATGAGGTTGTCAGTACTGGGGTTGAGTGGCATCAGTTACTCAGGTATCTCAAAGCTGTGTCTCAGAGTCCCTGGGCAGGGGAGGGAGGGTCAGTTTCTGCTTACCAGAATGTTAGAACCCACCTCTGAGTTCCCTCCTAGAAGCCACTATTGACTCCATTGTAGCTCAGTGAACTTGCAGCCATGGCCTTGGACATCCCCCTCCCCCAGGAATGCACATAAGAAAACTCCGTTTCATAACTTTATTTAATTTTCTCTGTCTCCTCCCTCCCCTGCCAGCCCCTGAGAGGGGGTAGAAGCCCCAGTTGGAAGGGAAGGGACTACTCTTTCCTCCCCCAGGAGGGATGGTGTCCCCTAGCCAGGCTCCATGGATGGGAGAAGCAGGGGCCTCCAAGGCAAGGCAAGGGCATCATGGAAGAGGCAGTGGCCAGGGCCAAGCCTCACAGATGCCCTGTAGTCCTGCATCCTATGGATCCTCAGGGAGGTGGAGAGCAGAGAAACCTGGAGGAAAGATGGGGACAAGGCTGGGGTTTGTGCGTGACTGACAGAGGCAGACATGGATGTTGGGAGGCTGGAGCTGCCGGTGATGGGACCCTGAGGGGGGAACCCTGGGTCACAGGGGAAGCTGGATGTAGTGAGGGTGCAGTGGGCACCAGGGAGATCAGGGGGGAGCTGAGGGACAAGGCTGTGCTCTGAGAAGTGGGTTCTGGTGGGGGGGGGGCTGTGCCCTAAAGTCCAGGAACAATCTAGGCAGGGCCAGAGGGTGGAAGCAGGAAGGATGGAAACTGCTGGGCAGCTGAAGCCAGCTGTCCAGCCTCAGGGCAGCCATCCCAGCTGGGCATAGCCCCAGGCCACCAGTTTGTGCTTCTAGGTTGCAAGAGGGCTCCCCATGTAGCCTCAGCTATGGCAGAAAAGTAGGCAACTGTGACCAGGACTCCTCTCCACCTCAATCTTTCTGGAAGCTTCTTTCCCTGCCCAGCTTCATCTGCTATCACAGGGGGTAGAATATGGTGGTGGTTGGGGGAGCCATGCTGGGGACAGATCACAGAACTTAGGTGGCTTTCACTCCCCCCCACCCCCAAATGACCACAAGTCACTGCATTTTAGTCTAAGAACCCCACCCCATCCCACCCCCACCCCTTGTGCGTGGCTGGTCTGTTTTTCCCTCCTGTTTTGGACAATTATTCAGCCATCCAAGGCCATGGTGGGATGGTGAGGAGAGGGACACTGCTCTGGGGCTGAGGTGTGCTCAGCGTGCACCCTGCCCATCCCCCCGGCAGCCGCTGTCCCCATGGACGATGAGCACCGGGAAGTAAAGGGCATCCTCATAGCATGGAGGGCTTTCCAGGGGCTCCGTGTCCTCCCCACGCCGTCCCAGGGGGCCTCCACTCAGGCTACGGAAGACCCCTGGGGTAGCCCGACCCCCAGCACCCAGGGAGAGGCGACTGCGACTGAAGGGCAGGCGGGGCCCACTGGGCCGGGCAGGAGGCAGGGAGTTGCTGCTGACCGAGCGCCGGCAGCGCTGGCAGCCTCTTAGGTAGGCCCCGGAGCTGGCACCCATGACCACAGCCTCGGAGTAGCTGGGCACCAGCTGCCGGTTGGAGCAGATGTGCCACTCGAGCTCGGTGAAGTCCACAGTGGCCACGCGGGAGAGCGGGGGCCCGCTGGGCACAGCTCCCGGGGGTGGTGAGCTGGCACCGAAAAGCTTCTCCACCTGGTAGTGGACGTGCGCCGTCCCGTAGGCGGCTACCACGCGCAGTGGCCAGGACAGCGTGGCCGCGGACACCAACCAGAAGACCCAGGCTCGGGCGTACCAGGGTGGGCTGCGGGGGTCTGCGAAGACCATGAGGGACTCTCGGAAGTCCACGTCCTTCAGATGCATGCCCTCCCGGGCTTCCAAGTAGTCATCCAGGCCCTCGTTGGCACTGAAGAAGCGGGCTCTCTGGGTGAGGTACGAGGCCTCGGCCTCGGCACTACCGAAGCTGAAGCACTTGGTGAAGCGCAGCCGGGTGGCCGCATGGTCAGCCAGGCCCACGAGCTCCTTGGACACGTCTCGGACACCGTGTGCAGAATAGTCAAACTCGCCCCGGGCCGTGCGACTGTCGGCTCTCTCGTGGTAGACCTGCGTGGTGGTGTAGGCATCACCGTTGCGGTAGCGGGTGATCTGGCGGGTACGGCGCACGTAGTGGTAGCTGGTGGCCTTCCACCAGACGCACGGCGGTGCCTGCTGCAGACGGTGGATCAGGGCGAGCACTGTGTTGGCGTCGGTTCGAGGCGCCTGGCAGGAGCGCACGTGACAGTGCCAGCACTCTGCCAGGTAGAGGAGGTAGAGGAGGGAGACAAAGGCCAGAGGGATGTACAGGTAGCCATCCGAGCAGGGACTGGCTGGGTAGGTAGGCGGTGGGCCTCCTGCCCCCCGAGCCAAGGCAGCCTCAGGCCCGAGGACCAGGCGGGGCACGGTGGCCAGACGACACCAGGCCACCACAGCCCCACAGGCATGGATGAGGAGCGTCAGGAGCAGGCACTTCCAGTGAGACTCTCGGCACAGAGAGCCTCCCAGGGACTGCTTCAGGGGCCGCTGCTGTGTGTGGGTAGAGAGAGGGGAGGCACAGGTCAGTGGGGGACAACCATGTGAAGAGATGAGGCCCTAGGCCCCATTTGACTTAGCAGGAAACTGAAGCCTGGAGTGACTGAGGTACATGCAGCAAGCTTCACAGTTGAGTAGCTCCCAGTGTCCTGGCAGGACTCAAAAACCTTATTTACCTGCCTTGAGCCTGCTGCCCTGAGTGTCCTGCTGTTTCTCAGCCAGAAGCCCCCTAAAGGCAGACAGAAGGGATAGCCCCTTACACTGGCTACTGAGAGATTTGAGTTCTGGTTGCCCCCGCTCTGCTTTTAATTTGCTCTCTCTCTCTCTCTCTCTCTCTCTCTCTCTCTGTGTGTGTGTGTGTAAATGGGCTATGGAGCCCAGCTATACAGCACCCTCCATTTACAGTGCACTTGAGAAGACCATCTACTCTGGCCCTCAGTTTCCTTATGTGTACATCTGGTTGTTGAGGATTCCATGAAATCACATGTATGAGCATCTTAGCACAGGGTCTGGTCTGGCCCTGCAAATAAACACTGTTGCTGTTACCCTGAGACTCCCACTGGCCTCTCTGTTCAACTAGGGATGGCAGGAGACTAAGTCAGAAGACAGGGGGTGGGGAGCTGGGGACTGGGGAAGTGTGAGTCTCAGTCAGTGCTGGAAGGAGATGGAGGGGGGCTCTTCACCCTCAATTTGTGCTGAGGTTAGGGAAGGGACACAGTTTCTGGGGCCACTCCTTGACCCAGAGTGCTTGGCACATCTCCCATGGCAGGGCCACCTCTGCTCCAGATGTCAATGGGGAGAGAAGGGAATGGAGTGATGGGTAATTGGAAGGGATGAAGTGGATAGTGTAGAGGTGGGATTCTGGGGTGATGTAGCCTATCCAGCCCCTTGAGAGGTCCAATAGGAGAGGGGATTGCCCTCAGTCTCACCCAGGGCACCCCAATTCCATTGTGGAACAACCTTACAGGTGCACTGTGCCACCTAGACCTGCACCAATCAGGTGCACACACCCACTTGTTCACAGTCCTCCACAACATGTGTTCATCACAGACCCACCCACCACAGAGGAACACCATCTCTTATCCAAAACCAGAACCTCACCTATTCTTAGAGCACAAGCCTCATGATCATAGATGTACCCAAACACACAAGACCCCTTCATTACTGGACATACATGCACATCTGTGATATACTGACACCTAGACATGTCAGACCCTCACCTGACCTCAATGCATATCCCCCACCCTAAGCAACCTGACACCCACATCCACACCTCACCCTACACTGGGGAGGCTCTCCAGCAACAAGACAGTCATACCCACATTCACACTCCTGGGTGAAGACCCAAGGCCAGAGGCCCACCAGAGCCTCACCTGGATACAGAGCATCTGTGTCCCACTGAAGTTGGAGCGAATGCACATCCAAATTCTGTCTCACACACACACACACACACACACACACACACACACACACACAGACCCCCCCTCACCACCCTGTCTCCCACACCACCACCTACAGGGTAGATCTTCCTAGCTAGGATTGAGGAGGGGTCCTCGTGGGAGTTCCAGACAGTGGAATGGGCTTTCAGGCCTCACCTGGGATGGAGGGGAGGGGGGAGAAGGGTATCAGCAGCTGCTCCCTTCTCTTCCCTTCTTCCCTCCCCCATCCCTAGTCCCAGCCACCGCTGCTGCATTGCAGGCACCGCCCGATACCTCGTGAGGAATTGGGCCGGACTGGGGGCCCTGACCCGGTGGCCCTGCCAGTGGGGGGTGGGGGGTCAGCATCTCAGGCTGAGCTATGGAACCAGGACGTGTGGGGGGGCAGGTGCCAACGTCACAGGATCTAAGAGGATGGTTGAGGGGGCACCGAGGGCGGACATCGCCCCCACATTCCTGCCCAGCCATTCCTGCCTTGCTCCACGCAGACCCCTAAGCCGGGACCCCAGCCAGAACGCGGGCACCCCGATGACGTCATTGCTGGAGGGGCAGGGGCACTTTTCTCCTCCATCCCTCTCCGGGGGTGGAACCTCATCTTGTCCCCTTCACCTCGATCTATCCCTGGTTCTGTCCCCACGCTCGGGGCCCGTACCTCCTCCCGCAGCGGCTCGCCGTCCGGGATGAGGGCGGGCACCTCTCCGCCGTCGCCACCGCCGCCCTCGGGCATGGTGTCTTGGCTGCTCGGGCGGCCCCGACCCGGGCCGGGGGCATGATAAGCGGGGCGCGGATAGCTGCGGCGCGGCCCCGAGGGGCGTCCGCTCGGT